TGATCTGCTGCTAGTGTCAATGTATTCCTAACGACATCCCAAACACATTGCAAATGTAGTGAGTTTGCCTGCACCAGATCTTATGGTACCGCAGTATAATGCGATGTGGGTGCAGTGCATTTTTAAAACTGGTGTATATACAAATGAATAAGCTGAAAATTGTACCGCACTGAATCGCACAGGAATTGTCCTACGGACACAGCGATCACCGACCGCGCCAGGTGCGCACCACTGGGGGCGTGCAGGGGGGGCGTGTTCCGGAGTGACGTCCATGGGATTACGCAACCGCACTGTAGCCGTCCTTCAGCTATAGTGTTTCTGTGTGATTCAGGTGTGAACTGGCCCTTATGTGTATGCATGAATATGAGTTAGAGACATTAGATTGTATGCTCTTTGGGGGCAGGGACTGATGTGAATGTACAATATAATTGGGTTGGACAGAAAAATAGAAACACTACACGATTGGCAGGTGTGAAAGTGACATGTTTTGCCTTGAAAGCAGAAGGGATGTAACACTGTTTTCTTCTGCTGTGTGATGAGACACCTAGGTAACAGGTGGAAAGCCTCAATTTCATCATTCACTGCATGCGGTGTTGATGATACAGAGTCATGGCAGAGCTTACTAAGCTTCAAAGAGGGCAAATTGTTGGTGCCGCTGAGCTGGTGCCTCTGTGACTGAAGTTGCTGGTTTATTTGCCATGTCACGAGGTACAGTATCAAAGGTTATGATGGCATATACAGTTTCCGGGAAAATGTTGTATGATAAGCATAAGCGGAACATGACTGAATTAGACAAAAGAACATTGCGCAGGATTGCAATGCAGAATAAGAAAACTGCAATAGTGACTGCATAGCCCAATCTCAGTCTTCACAGGACTGAGATTGAGCTCAGCAGTAGCTACTCTGATGACAGTATGTAAAAAAAAAAACTATTTAATTTTTTTACTCAACTGTTAAACATTTTTTTCACATTTGTTTTTACATACTGTCAACAGTTGAGTAAAAAAATTAAATAGTTTATTTTTTTACATACTGTCATCAGTCAGTATCCTTGATCACTGCCACACCAGTCATACAGTTGTGTTCAAAGTAATAGCAGTCAGATATCACTAACCTGATCAATCACTGTTTTTGGTAGAAATGATATTTCTACATGGCAAATAATTTACTAGCAGGTGTAGTAGAGTAATAGAAATCCAACAGACTCAACAGTCATGACATGCATGCTGATGATTCTGTGTAATTGAATCACTAATTGAAAGGGGCATGTTCAAAATAATAGCAGTGTGGAGTTCTATTAGTGAGGTCATTCATTCTTTGAAAAACTGGTGGCAATTATTGCCCTTATTTAAGGAAGGAAGGCAGCAGATGTTGTACATGCTGGTTACAGTGCATTTCTCTCTGAAATTCTGAGGAAAATGGGTCGTTCCAGACATTGTTCAGAAGAACAGTGTACCTTGATTAAAAAGTTGATTGGAGAGGGGAAAACATATAAAGAAGTGCAGAAAATGATAGGCTGCTCAGCTAAAATGATCACGAATGCTTTAAAATGGCAACCAAAACCTGAAAGACGTGGAAGAAAGCGAAAAACTACCATTCGAATGGATAGAAGAATGGCCAAAATGGCAAGGACTCAGCCAACAATCAGCTCCAGGAAGATCAAAGAAGGTCTAAAGTTACCTGTGAGGACCGTTACAATTAGAAGATGCCTATGTGAAGCCAAGCTATCTGCAAGAAGCCCCCGCAAAATCCCACTGTTGAAAAAAAGACGTGCTGAAGAGGTTACAATTTGCCAAAGAGCACATTGACTGGCCTAAAGAGAAATGGCTCAACATTTTGTGGACTGATGAAAGTAAGATTGTTCTTTTTGGGTCTAGTGGCCGGAGACAGTTTGTCAGACGACCCCCAAACACTGAATTCAAGCCATAGTACACTGTGAAGACAGTGAAGCATGGTTGCGCAAGCATCATGATATGGGGATGTTTCTCATACTACGGTGTTGGGCCTATTTATCGCATACCAGGGATCATGGATCAGTTTGAATACATCAGAATACTTGAAGAGGTCATGCTGCCTTATGTTGAAGAGGAAATGCCCTTGAAATGGGTGTTCCAACAAGATAACGACCCCAAACACACCAGTAAACGTGCAACATCTTGGTTCCAGACCAACAAGATTGACGTTATGGAGTGGCCAGCCCAATCCCCGGATCTTAATCCAATAGAAAACTTGTGGGGTGACATCAAAAATTCAGTTTCTGAGGCAAAACCAAGAAATAGAGAAGAACTGTGGAATGTAGTCCAATCATCCTGGGCTGGAATACCTGTTCACAGGGGCCAGAAGTTGGTTGACTCCATGCAACACAGATGTACAGCAGTTCTCAGATACAGTGCTTATACAACTAAATATTCATTAAGTGATTCAAAGGAAAGCAAAATCTCCAAACATTTTTCAGTTTATATAGTGAATGTTTGAGTTTGTAAAGAAGAATACAAAAATTGCTATTTTTTTGAACAGTCTAATATTCACTTTTCTTCATTTTTTTTTTTTAGAGGAACATAAATTTGATATATTTTTCTTCAGGTTTTGATTTGGAATAGAATGTGTAGTGTTCCCAATGCATTTGTGTTTATGGAAATAAAAGCTATTAGAAGGATTTTGAGCTTTATTCACTTTTTTCTACACACTGCTATTATTTTGAACACATCTGTATGATGACACTGTACTGCACTGGTGACAGTATGTAAAAAAATACTTAATTTCTTTATATTCCAAAAAATTGTAACAGAAAAATTACAACTTCAAAAAACCCTCCTCTTACTAAATACCTCAGCCTACTACTTTCAAAAAGGGGTAATTTGGGGAGGGCATTTGTACTGTCCTGGCATTTTGGGGGCCTTTAGAAAAGAGAGGCCATCAGTACATCAGAAATGATCAATTTTCAAATACATATACCATAGTTTGTAGACGCTATAACTTTTACACAAACCAATTAATATACACTTTTTTTTATTTCACCGAAGACATGTGGCAGAATACATTTTGGCCTAAATTTACGAATACAGTTGTTTTTTTATTTTTCTTTATTGGATATGTTTTATAACAGAAAGTAGAAACAATTTGTTTTTCCAAATAATCAGGCTTTTTTCATTTATTTATAAAAAAATTAAAGTAGTACCCAAATACCACCAAAAGAGAGCTCTCTGTGTGTGAAAAACATGATATAAATTTCAGTTGGTTACAGTGTTGCATGACCGAGCAATTGCCATAAAAAGTAGCTCAGTACCAATAGCAAAACATGGTGTGGTGATGGGGATAAAACCTTCTGGAGCTCAAGTGGTTAAACAGACTTTGAACCTATGAAGGGCCCTTTCACACTGGTGCACTTAAAATCATGGTATGCATTTTGCAAAAACACATATTTCAATGCATTTTTGGTGTTTTCTGGATTCCTGTCTTCCATAATGCACCTGGGAAACTTGGGACTCCAAAAACGCACCATGGTTGCATGTTTGATGTATTTTTATATGTGTTTTTAGTGTACTTCCTATAGAAATCAATAGGAGGCGCATGTTGGTGCACTTTTGACAAGCACACCAAAGAAGCAGAATGCAGGACTTTTTAAAACGCAGAGCAAATGCAGCACAGCAATGTGAACAGTTGCATAGTATTCAAAGGGGAATTATTTTCATGCGCTGTCGTGGTGCTGGAAATGTGCTTAGCACACCTGTGTGAAAGGGCCTGAGCTGTATATAGCACAGTCATTTTCAAACCAGATTGTCCGATATTTGCATGCTTAATGTGCTTATCTTGACTTTCATTTTCCACTTTCTTCCAAATAAAAATCAAAGGTATTGAAAAAAATTTCCCGAATGAACAAATTTTGAACCATTAGTGGTGCAGTTGTTTGGGGAAAAAAATTAAATATTACATTGCATTACTTCTTCCTTTCTCGGTCAAAATTAAAGAAAGTGTTACTAAACCCACAACAGTAAGATCAGTCTGTATATGCAGTAAAGCATGCTTGTTATACTCACTGTGGAACCTAAGGGGTTAATCCTCTGCATTGTGTAAAAAGGCTGTTTGTACCTGATTTCTCTGATCCTCCCCTTCTTCCAGTGTCCCCCTCTTATCCCCTGATATGACATATCGTGTGGAGACACTCTGCACATGTTCAGTTTGCTGTGTATTTCTAGAGAGGTTTTTTGCTGTGAGATTTCCAAAACAATGATGGGTCAATCGAATGTTATATCAAATTAATGTTTACATTTTCTTTCAAATTGTCATAAATTTTTCTGCTCATCTATGGCCAGCTTAAAGCGGAGTTCCACCCAAAAGGGGAAGTTTCACTTTAAGCCCTTGTCCCCCGCTCCCCATTAAGGATTGGCACCTTTAGGGAGGGGGGAGAGAGCAGGTATCCGAATTTGACAAGTACCTGCTCCCACTTCTGCTGCGATCACCAAAGGCGATTGGAAGTGGAGTTTGTCCTCTCCCTCCTCGTAGTCTTCTGGGACACGTGACAAGTTCCAGAAGATTATGGGACCATTCAGCCGGGTGCCCACACTGAAGATGTCCACGCCAGGGAGAGAAGACAGCTAGTGAAACCAGCCATGGTGAGGACATCGCAGGATCAAGGGACAGGTAAGTGTCTGTATTTTAAAAGTCAGCAGCTACAGTTTTTGTTGCTGCTGACTTTTATTTTATTTTTTTTTAATCAACTCGATCTCCGCTTTAAGCAGTGAACGTCTTCACATTTCCTAAGTATAGGTTTCATTTAAATTTAAAGCTGCTGCCTGTTATTAGACTACAAATTGGTGCTTTGTTTAAATAGGGGGAACATTAGATTCCATACCGACCCTTCCACTGTGTCAGCACCAGGGGCGGACTGAGAACTCATGGGGCCCCCGGGCAATAGGGGATCATGGGGCCCCTGTGTACTTGCCCAAACTCAAAAAAGCCCTATGAAAAAGGTACCAGGGGCATCTCATGGGGCCCCCTACTGACCCCGGGCCCTTGGGCAGTGCTCGAGTTTCCAAATGGTCAGTCCGCCTCTGGTCAGCACACCTCCCCAGAGAACCACAAAAGCTGCCTGAAAAACCAGAGTTCAGCTAGAGAGATTGAGTACGCCTATATCTAACCATAATACAACATGTAGACCAATGCAATCTGCGAAATGTGTCCAAGACTTTCATTTTGCAAGAATACATGATCCAGATGAAGAAACCTTCAGATAGCATGATTAATGTATGGGATTAAATAGAATGAAACCTGGATAACCTTAATACTGTATACAAATCTAGCGAAATAGTCCTGTTGCTCCATGAACTTAGATATAAGCAGTCACCAGGACTAATGCAGTACATGGATTTGTACAAAGAACAGATTCTCTCTTAGGCCTGGTTTACACCACAATTTCTATGTTCCCAATGTGTTTCTATATTATTATTACAGGTACTTATATAGAGCTGTCAATTTACGCAGCGCTTTACATATATATTGTACATTCACATCAGTGGTACATGCAATGATCATTAAATAATGAACAAAAATTCAGCACTCACACAATGTAGAATGGGATGGTGACATGGGGCATAGTGGAAGGAAAATGGGAACTGACTGTACACAAGATGTAACGGAGAAGGCTTCCCTACATTCAAATCAGTCCCTAACCCTCAAGGGGCATACTATCTAAGGTGCGTTTTTTAATGGCAACTGCATGTGTCTTGCACAGGTAGCACAATCACAGGTGATGCAGGAAAACGCATGTAATGCACCTTTCTAGCACTTCATTCCAGTGTGAACCAGCCCTGAAACTTAAATGTATAACACCTGTATAACACCTGTATTACATCACTATAAGGCTCCATGTACACGGGACATTTCTGATCGATGGAAACTGACTGCTGGAAAACGTAGTTTAAAAAACATCTGTTTAGCCGAGTTTTGCATACCGCGTTTATGATCGTTTGCGTTTAGAAGCTTTTTTTTTTTTAAGATAACCTCAGGAGACCTTCCAAAATGCCCAGAATGCACTGAAAAACAGTAAAAAAAATTACTATTTCAGACATTTTGAGAGAAATAGAGCAGAAGCAGAAAGAGCAGTATGTGTTGAGATTAGCTGTCTTTTTTTTTTTTTGTGGTGTTTGGATGTGTTCCAGCTCATTTCTGTGCAGACATTATTGCAGTAGTGTCTAACAATATTTTTTTTGCATGCAGAACCTCAAAGTATGGTGTACCAGGTCCATTTGAGTACCGGGAAAATGCTTTGCATGCATTTTTCATGATGAAAAAAGGCTCTGGATAGCATTTGGAAATGGAAGAGTTAAAACATTTTTTCGAAAGCAAATGCCTATAAATGCGGTTAGCCACGTTTAGACACGTTTACAAGCGGTTTGAAATACTGATAAAATCTACTGAACGCAAGTTTTCTGTGTTCAAAAAAATGACTGTAAACTCAACTGCCTGTAAATGACTATAAATGATGTGTACATGGACACATAGGAAAACATTAGGGTGAGTTCAAGGGCTGCTGAAAAAAAACGCTGAACAGCTCCTAAACGTGCGTTTATTAGCTGCAGTGTACATGAGCCCTTAAACGCAAAACAAGAAAATGCAATATATTGCAGCTTACCAATCATGTAATTGATTAGTTGTCTTTTTTTTTTTAGGCTTTTTTCCTTATGTTTTCACCTGGTGATTTGGCCAGTAAACACACCCCCTGTATTAGAGTGCCTCCACTCTGAATGAAGGACCACAGAGACACAGCAGACTGTCACATTGTTAAGTTTTTAGGGGGGGAGGGAATGTAGTTGCAGATTTAAATTTACACTAACAAAAACAGTGAAGTGCGAGCGAGCGACCAGATATGATTATTGTACCACCTTCCTTAAAATTGCAAATATTCAATAGAGAAGATGGGACTTTCAAGGTGCATGAACATGAATACCAAACATTTTAAAAAGTTATATGATTTTTATTTCGTATTTTTGTAAAAAACACAACAAGAAAGGAAAAAATACAGAAACGTAAAAACAATTTCAGTTCTAAGAATACAACTGAGATTCAAACTTGGTTATATAATTGTAGTTACTCCCTACAGGAGGAGATGTTTCTGAAAAAATTTCTACCGCCGAGGCAGTCCTGGATGTTAAAGCTCACGGAGCTAGGAGAAAATTACCTAAAAAAAGATCTTAATTGGCCTACACGTCCAAAACAGTTGTAGAGGATATAGTGGGCAACAAATATCATCTGTTAAATGCTTTTAGAAGGATATATAGGTATAACCTAACAAAGATCTATTTGGCCTATACATCCACAACCATAGGAGAGGAAACAATGGACTTCAAAACATCCATCTGTTGAAAATTGCAGAGAAATATAAAAGTATATTCTGTCTAAAGGTCTAATTGGCCTATAATGTCCAAAAAAGGTTGAAGAATATAATGGGCATCAAATATCCATCTAAGCGTAACAGGGTAAGGTTGGAAAATAAAATGGGCATCAAATATCCATCTGTTAAATATTGCAATTCAAGGAAAATGTGGGGAAAATGGATTTTAATTGAAGATCAATTTCCAATTCTATCACTAGGTGTCAGTAATGGACATCATCTAGAAGATATTAGCTTTGTTCAGATCCAAAACAGCCTCCAAGATACTCAGTGTGCACTGGTGATTAGACATTTAGACAGAATATACTTTTATATTTCTCTGCAATTTTTAACAGGCCAATTAAGATCTTTTTTTTAGGTCATTTTCTCCTAGCTCCATTAGCTTTCACATCCAGGACTGCATCGGCGGTAGAAATTTCTTCAAAAAAATCTCCCCTGAAGAAGCCTGTGAGGGCGAAACATGTAGGGAGTAACTACAATTACATAACCAAGTTTGAATCTCAGTTGTATTCTTAGAACTGAAATTGTTTTTATGTTTCTGTATTATTTCCTTTCTTGTGTTTTTACAAAAATACAAAATAAAAATTATATAACTTTTTAATATGTTTGGTATTCATGTTCATGCACCCCTGAAAGTCCCATCTTCTCTATTGAATATTTACACTAACAAATTTAAGCCAAATGCCACCCCACACTGCAGTTACAGTAGCATTTCTTTTTTTCTTTTGGGATAAAGGTTTTATATGAATAAATAAAAGCTGATTATTGTAAGCACCCCAGCAGCAGTAAATGATTTGTCTCAGCACTAATTAATACATCTCCAAGACAGCTTGTTCTTTTGAAAAACAACAGACTTACTGGCCAGATCACCAGGTGAACATAAGGGACAGAAAGCCCGAAAAAAAAAAAGAATGTAGCTATCACATCTAAGAATTGGTAAGCTGCAATATAATAAATGTCTGCTTTTGGGTTTAATACCGATTTAAATATTTATCTGTAAAACAAAACTAAGAGAGACATAAAACAGAAGTAAAATAAAACAGTCTAAAAAGGAATGGAGAAAAAAATAAAACCAGGATAGTTTCCCTTGTCAATCAATGAATTCAGAGTATTTTTTCAATAAAACAAAACAACTTATAGCTACATGGTATATGGGCGAAATTTCTCTAAAATAATAAAGTTTGGAATAAGAGACATTTTATCAATTACAGGAACTAATATAGTGGCATCAATTTACACTGTGCGTCACATACTGTACACTGTATATATTCCTATCAGTTCCTACCCTTCATGGAGCTTACAATCTAAGGTCTCTAACTCACAATTATACATATACTAGGGCCAATTTAGACAGGAGCCAATTAACCTACCAGCAGAGGAAAGCAGAGTACCCAGAGGAAACCCACGCAGGCACAGGGCAAACATGCAAACTTCAGGCAGGTGGTATCATGGTTAGGATTCAAACCGGCAACCCTAGTGCTGCTAGGTGGAAGTGCTAACCACTTACTCTGTTGCCCAAGACATAGACATAGAAACCTTCTGTGTTTATAGATAGTAAAAGTAGAAGTAAACCCATAAACCCAATCACTAAACCTTTCATATAATTTATAACACACTTATATAATTAAAAAACATGATTTGAAATGGTTTAGTTTTTATGGCTTTCATTAAAATAATAACTTATTATTCTGGCTGGGGGGTCCTGGGTCAGACTGCTTTTGTTGTAGGGTGACAGCCACTCCATGCTACTGTGCTAACAATATTCTGCAGGCATGTAGAAATGGCTGCAAAAAATGATTCAGGATGCAGGAGTTAAGCAGCAACAAAAACACTATTTTCTAACAGATGAAAACTGCAATTATATGTGATATACAGGAAGACATTTATCAGTTCTGTCACCCAGCAAAACAGCTAAAGGGGAGTAGTGAGATGGATTATGCAGCAGATTGCTCTCAGCCACTCCAAAGTAGCACGGTCAGTGAGTAAAACCTGACCCTGACCACATCTTAAGGGTGTATTCTTCCTTTCGGAAAAAGAATAAAATGTGTAACTTTGACAGGTCAAATGACCTGGCTTTTAATTTTTTAAAAATCTCTATTCATGTTTACTGTGCTCCCTTGCCTTTTAGTATCTAGGTGTCAGTGAAGCAGAGAGCACATTTGAAACCATATTGCTATGCTTTGTGCACTTTTTTTTCAGCAGAGGTACAGCCATACCACTGCTTTTTAAATGAGCCCTATAATGTCATCGAGGTAAAGTTTACATCTGGTTTCTACTATACCAGTGGTCGGCAAGCCGCGGCTCGCGAGCCACATGCGGCTCTTTACAAACTTAAATGCGGCTCTTCTGTGTGCCGGGCGCCCGCTCCCCTTCCTCCTCTCGGGCGGCCCCCCCAAAAGTCAGGACTCTGCAGCTGTCAGGATGTAGGCGGGGCAGCCAGGATGTAGACGGAGCAGCGTGACGAACTCCTCTCCTCTCACAGTCCGCCCTGAAGACCAGAACGGCGCTGGAACACGGCGAGAAGAACGCGCGGAGCAAAGGTAAGTGAATTGACACAGGGGGGACTTGGGGAATTAATATGGGGGATGAATTACTATATGGGGGATGAATTACTATGGGGGATGAATTACTACAGTCAGGTCTATAAATATTGGGACATCGACACAATTCTAACATTTTTGGCTCTATACACCACCACACAATGGATTTGAAATGAAACGAACAAGATGTGCTTAGACTGCCAGCTTTAATTTGAGGGTATTTACATCCAAATCAGGTGCACGGTGTAGGAATTACAACAGTTTGCATATGTGC